AATTTTTTTAAATATAAAATAAATTCTGACATCAATAACATAGTATGTAGGTTGGGAGTAAAAGTGTAGAGTTTGTTTTCAATTGCTGATGAGATATTAGTATTCAAAATATGTAAGGAATTCCTGCAACCCAGTAGCAAAAAGACAACCCAATTTGAAAATGGGCAAAGGGACTGAACAGACATTTGTCCTAAGTACACACACATCTATTAGGGTGGCTAGTATCAGGGCTGTAGGGGAAGGTAGTCTCCACAGGAGTTAAAGTTACTCATAATTTTCGCTTGTTGGAAGAACTTGAAGGACAAGAGGTAGTAGGCAATGACACTGTCATTTACGCATAAACCTCGATTACTCAAAATAGAATTCAGGTTTACAAGCTGAAAGCATGGAGAGAAGAGTCATGCTGTGGAAGCATGTGTGTTTCTGAAAAGTAAAAAATCTCAAGAAGGAAAAACAAATGGCATGCTTTATCCGTCTTGCTTAGTGAAAGAGCTTCAGGTGAAACTGTCTGAAGTAGCAGATACAATGAATATTTTCACAAATTGTGTTAATTTTTGAAGTGGTATGGGTGCTGACTATAGTAGTATCAAAAATATGTCCAGGATTGTTTCGATAACTGTATTTATAATAAAAAAGTGTTGTGGGGGAGGTCGATGAATTTCTGTTAAAAGCCGTTCCTGTGTGTTACATGTAACAGACATGGTAAATATTTGTTTACAGTCTTTGACAAACCATGCATTTAAGTGCAATCAGCAAAAAGGAAATAGGTAAATGGATATGTGATTGTGAGATTAAAGTTAGTCTTATAATGTAAATAAAATGTGGAACATGTCCTCAAAAAAAAAAGTATGGCTAATATAAAAAAATAAAGATGACAAGTCTTGACAAGGATGTGGAGAAAAGAAGAGTCCTTGTATACTGATGATGGGGATATATTGGAGCAGCCGTCATGGAAAACAGATGGAAGTTCCTCTAAAAATTAGACTACCATATGATCCAGCAATCTTGCTTCTGTCCATAAATGCAAAAGATCTTAAAGAGATATCTGCCCTCCCATGTTCATTGCAGCATTATTCACAATAGTCAAGACATCTAAGCAACCTCAGTGTCCATCTGCAGATGAATGGATAAATTTGTCATATATGTACAGTGGAACATTATTTAGCCTTAATGAAAGGAAGTCCTGCCATTTTTGATAACTTCGATGAACCTAGAGGACAATTTGCCAAGTGAAATAAGCCAGACACAGAAGGAAAAATACATGATACTTCTTATATGAGTAATACAGACTCATGGAGTCAGAATAATGGTGCTTGCCAGGGGATGGGGAGTGGGGGAAATGGGGAAGATACTAGACAAAGGGTATAGAGTTTCAGTTATACAGGATGAGTAAGTTCTAGAGATCTACTGTACTGCTGTACAGTACCTATAGTACCTATAGTTAAGAATATTATATACTTAAAATTTTGCTGAGAAAGTAGGTATTATGTTAAGTGCTTTTGTCACACAAAAAAAGAAAAACCAACTTAGAATAGTTTTATTAGTCTAATGAAAGTTTTATTAATGTCACAAGTCATGAAGCAGCTCCATGATGTCCTTAACTATACAGCTCATGATGCCAGAAGACTTTCATCTTTTGAGTCAGACATCCTCATTTTCTGGTTTTAATGCCTGTTACTTTGAGGTTGCAAGATTGCTCTTCCACCTCCAGGAATAAGAAAGGCAGCAAAATAATGGAGAAGGCTAGAAAGCTTTTGTATTTTATTTTAAAGCACTTTCCTGGACTTTCCCCTTAGCAATTTCTACTTGGATTTCTTTGGCCAGAAGTAGGTTACCCTTAGCAGTGAAGGATGCTGGGAAATTGTGTTTTAGCTGAGTACATTGCCTCTGAACAAAATTTGGGCTCTGCTAGCAAAACAAAGAAAATAGAGACTAAGTTGGCATCTTGTAGTATCAGCCACACAGTCCCCCTCTCTAGCTACCTAACTTTCATACATATTTTTCTTTGCTCACTCACCTTTCCCTCAAGGGAGATAAATCAAGTTTCCGTTCACTTTTGTATCCAGTGCCACATCCAGAATAGTTGAGTATTAGGTAGTCCTTTTCAAGTCCAGATAAGACTCCTAGTGTTTCAGTGACCTATAAATAAAAAGATAATTTATCTGCCCCCAACATCACAACGAAACTGCTTTTGTTTGGGAAAAGGGAGAGCATACATATAGCAATCATTCATTCATAACTATGATGCACTGTTTCATCAAATATTTGTTGAATAGCAGTAGCTTGGACTCTTTGTCCCAAGAGGTCCTTGATTAACGAAACCAGCTGTCTCTAAAGAATTCCCCCTTGCCTATTTTTTTCCAAAGCCTTTCTTCCCTCAGGATATTATCAGCTGTGGCCACATCTGAGTTGGGCAATAGAAGATCCTTTTCCTCCAAGGCTCTATATAATCTTCATAGTCTGCTTTCTGTTGGTGTGAGTTCTCTGGCCCAGTGGTGGTCTTAAAGATTGAACAGTCATGGACCTTTGTTTATTTTAAAACTTTCTTACAGTTAAGCTTCCTCAACTGTTTAGTAGGCTTCCAAACTATTTGCTTCTTAAGGATTTTAAAGATCTTACCCAAGCATAATCTCTCTTTTTTTTTTTTAAGATTTATTTACTTATTAGAGCACATGCCCGAGCTGTGGGAGGGGCCAAAGGAGAGGGAGAGAATCAAGCAGACTCCCCACTGAGCGCAGAGCCCAACTGGGGGGCTCAGTCTCACAACCCTGAAATCATGACCTGAGCCGAAACCAAGAGTCGGATGTTCAACTGACTGAGCCATCCAGGTGCCCCATGTTCAAGCGTAATCTTTGAACCTAGAGATATCAGTTTATCTACTGACCTCTGTGCCCTTCTTATCTGAAGCCTGGGGAATCTTAAAATGTTCTAAAGAATAGCATTCGAGGGCGCCTGGGTGGCTCAGTTGGTTAAGCAACTGCCTTCGGCTCAGGTCATGATCCTGGAGTCCCGGGATCGAGTCCCACGTCGGGCTCCCTGCTCAGCAGAGAGTCTGCTTCTCTCTCTGACCCTCCCCCCTCTCACACTCTATCTCAGTCTCTCTCTCAAATAAATAAATAAAATATTAAAAAAAAAAAAAAAGAATAGCATTCGATGGTGCATATACCTCTCTCTGGCAGGGAAGTCTTACAGGCCTTTGAGAAAGGCAGTTCTTTTCTTACCTCTTTCACCATGAAGTATATAAATCAGCTTTTTTCAGTTCCACAAGTCACTAAATTATGGGACTGAGTTTGGCATTGATACTGATGGAAGCAGGGTTTATGAGAAACTGTAAGAGAAGACCAGAGCAAAAAGTTTGAAGACTATATTGAAGTGACATTTCAGTGTATGAGCTATACCTTAAGTATTTCTTGCCACTCTGATTTTATTTAGATGTAACCTAAATTCATCATTTATTTTTTTTTTGTGCCTAGTTTTAAATGAATGAACTTAAGAAAGATGATTATATATAATTCAGCGAATTATCTGAGGCCCTAATTAACTGGTAGAATGTAAGTAGTACACGTTGACATAAATGTAAAGTAAATGCCATAGCACTGATCTGAAGAAAGTTTATTGGCTAACACCTTTTTGCAATATCTTAATATTTTACATGAGTTAAGTTTTGCTGATCATGCCAGAATAAAAAAGAACAGCAGATTAATGTGGAATCTACCTTTTTCTTCTAATTGAAATGAGGCTTGGGTCTGGATTTATTAATTAGCTCTGTGAATTTTATTTCATAATTCGTAATTCCTCTTTGAAGAGATTTTATTCTGTTTCTAATGCCATGACAGAATTGATTCATTGGTGTTCAAATTTTGAAACATGGTAGGGGTGAGGGTTCTAATTTTAAGCAGCTAAGTCACTGTGACATGCTTTTGTTGGTTCTTAATGGAATTGAAGAACACAACTTTACAGGGAAATATTTTTGAAAACCACAGTATGTTAAGTTTAGAGGGGCTAGCACAACAAAATAATAACAAAAAATGCTTTATACTGGGGGCACCTGGGTGGCTTAGTCGGTTCTCTCTGCCTTCTGCTCAGGTCATGATCCTGGGTCCTGGGATCGAGTACCTCATCGGGCTCCCTGCTTAACGGGGAGTCTGCTCCCCCTGCTCGTGCAAGTGCACACTTTCTCTCTCTCTCTCTCTGAGAAATAAGTAAATAAAACCTTTTTTTTAAGTGCTTTATTACTGAAGATTTATTTTTATTACTTTACAGAATTCTCCCAATTTAAGAAATTTATCTTCATTCCATGCAGTTCCCTTATTTCATCTCCTTCAGTTACTACCTTCCTTCCCCCAAGAGTAAACATATTCTCAAATCACCAGAGTTGATGTCAAAACTTTTTTCTTTGACATGAGCAATCACTTTGTACTGTACTTCAGTTTCCAAGATTTCTTAAAAATACAGGCAAAAGGCAAATTTTGTATCTGCAAGCTGCTTTGTAGTTTCTTAGTTAAGACCCAAAAGCATGCAACCTAATGCAAATCTCTGTGGCATAAGATTATTATGTAACACGGTGTGCACCCACTTGCCTCCTGTGGAGAGTTGTATACTGGGTTTTCTCACTTTTTTGCTAGAAAGGATTTTCTCATTTGAAGCTCAGATAATCTGTGTTTTAGGGTCAGATGATGTGTGATCTTCCTTATTCAGTCAACTTCTAAATTCTTACCTGAGGCTGAAACCTAGAATGAGAATCTGTTAGAATCTCCAGTGAACAAGAATCACTGGTAAATGATTTTGTTTTCCACTTCCCTACATTAATGTTGCAGCTGTAGGGTGCTCTGCTTTTTAGTGGGCTTTTTCACTCTAGTGTGTTTATAGAACTTTGAAAAATACTAGAAACATGAAAGTTTAACTAAGTTCATTTATTCTTTGGTTCTGATTTTGTTCTTTCAGCTGGTATATTTGTCTTATATCCAAACCAGTTCTAATGGAAATGCATTTTCTTTCAGGATATCCTTCTCATTAATGTAGTGATTGAACAAATGATCTGTGATACTGATCCTGAGCTAGGAGGTGCTGTTCAGTTAATGGGACTTCTTCGTACTCTAATTGATCCAGAGAACATGCTGGCTACAACTAATGTAAGAAATTATTCTGAGATAAAAATGTTTTGGTCTAGTCAGTTTTAGAGGATTTAATATATAATAAATTATGTATAAATATATAAATTATATGTAAATATAAAATCTTTTTAAATTTGTACAATTATTTATTTATTTATTTTAAAGATTATATTTATTTATTTGACAGAGAGAGACACAGCGAGAGAGGGAACACAAGCAGGGGGAGTGGGAGAGGGAGAAGCAGGCTTCCCACTGAGCAGGGAGCCTAATGCGGAGCTCGATCCCAGGACCCTGGGATCATGACCTGAGCTGAAGGCAGACACTTAACGACTGAGCCACCCAGGCGCCCCGTAAATTTGTACAATTTTTTAAAATAATAAATACTTGAGTATTTGTACACTTCGTATCCAAGTAGCTGTGGTGTTCCTGTAGCAGTTTATTTGTGGCAAAATACAAGATTGTAATCTGCGAAAATCTTAGTAAAAAGTGTTAGCATTTCTATTTATGGCCCTTGGCCTCATTCTGTTAACTTCTTAAAAATTAATACACAACAGGATGCGTATATGTAACACTGCTGAAATGTAAACAGTAAAAATGGCTAAGATGGTAAATTTTATAAAGTTACATGTTCTTTAATCATAATGAAAAAAATTAATACGTACTGAATGATCTCAACTGCATAGTAGGAGAAGTCATTCAGAAAGACTTATAGAAGTATTCCAAAATATTAATAATTGTTGTCTCAAAATGCTGGGATACTTTTTCTTTATAAACTCTCTCATATTTAAAGAAGAATATGTATGTTGTTTTTAAATCATTACTTGTTTTTTCGAGACCATTGTATAAAAAATAGTGGCCAAAAAAAGGAACTGTTTTCCAAATTTCCAAATAATAAATTTTTAAAATTTAAAAAATAGATCTAAATTCTATCCTGTTTCAGATGACTTGATAAATCATTCTGGTGTTTTTTCATATTTGACTATGCTATGAATGGAGTTTCAGATTTGAATATGTGTGGATATGAACTTTCAAATTTTCAGCAGTTAAGTTGCTCCTCTCACATTGCTTGATAGATTCTTCATTGCATTTCAGGTCACAAGCATATTAGAAAAAAAGTTCTTCTGAATAATTTTCTTCAGAAAAATTTTTTATACTTGTTTTCATTTTAATTTAGTAATATGAAATAGACTTGATTTTTCAGTTCTGCAGAAATACGATTAAGGTGAATATAACTAGTTTTTTGGTGCTTTCATGATATCTTGAAGTATCTGTTGTATATGACCTGCATTAATTCTTAAAGATATCTTATTAATTAAAAGATAAAATATTTTTTTAATTCTGTATGTTTCAGAAAACTGAAAAAAGTGAATTTCTAAATTTCTTCTACAACCATTGTATGCATGTTCTCACAGCACCGCTTTTGACCAATACTTCAGAAGACAAGTGTGAAAAGGGTAGGGTGTCTTACTTATCTGCTTATGATTTCCATTTTTAAAGAGTGAAATAAGTAGTATAATAGGCTGTCTACTCAGTGCTTTATTTGACAGGGAAATTACTACTGAAAATTTTAAACTGCGTTATAAAATCATGATTTCCCTTTTTTCAGAGGGACTATGTTAGAGAATGATACAGAAAATGTAGCAAAAAGTATTACACCTTGAAGAAGAGAAATATAAACACTTTAACAGAAGGGGATTATTCTCAAAGCTGTTAATTACCTAGAGGGGGTAAGAGTAAACAGTATATTACCTACATTAGAAAATCCAAGGGAACCATCATTTTGGAGAATAATTTGGCAATATAGTACAAGCTCTTTAATTTCACAACATAAGGATCAGAAGTTGATGGGTTAATCAAAAAAGTTGGTTAAAGCAGAGAACAGTTTAAAAAAATAAACTCTGTAAACATTCTAAATGCTGACTCATTTGCTGATATTTTTTATAAGGGCAAGCCTTTTTTTTTTTTTAATGTATTTTTTTATTGTATTTCCATGTCATCTTTCATGCATAAACTACAGTCATAATTCATCAGCTCCAGCTTCTGGTTTTACTGATTTTCTAGACTGTATTCAACTTAGCCATAGATAACTACATTTTTATGATATTTCATCAGTCTGTGATGTTTAAAGTATGTAATCATACTGCCAAAAATAATTAGTGTAAACAAAGGACTTTTTGATAAGCATACAACTCAACTGGTGAAATGAGAAATGGGCAGGATGGGGGGATTTTATCTCTGAGAGTGTTGGTTAATCTGATGAGTCATTTTAAAAGGAAGTCAATTAAAGAGAATGCTTACTAAACTAATTAAGTTGTAAAAATGGGCACACCTTACATAATACCATCAATTCAATTTCCGAGCATATCCTAGGGGACATTTATGCATATGCATGACAGGTACAAGAATGTATAAGAAAATAAAGAACACGTGATATATTCATACAATGGAATACTATATAGCAGTTAAAACAACTGAATTTTAATCTGTCACCTAACTAGTTCTTGAAAATATAAAGTTGGGTAAAAAAGCATTTGGCAGAATGTTTTCATACAGAATGGTTTCATTTGTATAAATTAAAATAAATGCATTTTAATCTTTATTTTAAAATAAAACACTTCCAGCGTACAGAAATATTTAGATAATTGTATAACAGACACCCATATATTTCCTGTTGACTTTATCAAAACTAACTTGCCCTATCTTTTTTTCAAATATTTTTGAAAAGAAAATACAGATATTGTTAGTTTCCTGTGCACCGCTTCACATTCTCACTTCACCCCCATCTCTCAAGGAATGCTGAATTTGAAGTTTATCACCCCATGTCTGTTTATATTATTATGACAAGTGTAATGTATTATTTTTCATATTTCCAAGCTTGATATGAATTGATTTCTGTTGTACACATTATTCTGCATTTTTTTTTGCCCTTACTCAATGCGTTTTTAAAATCTGTCCATATTGATACCTGGAGTTCTTATTTATTTTTAAATCTTGCATAATATTCTCTTTGAGTATGTTATAATTTAGCCATCCTGCTTCTAATGTACATTTAAGTTTCTAGTTTTTGCTATTACACACAATGCTGCAATAGACATTTGTATTTTTCCCTATGCAAATGTGCTCTGAAATATGTGCCTAAAATTCAGAACTTACAATGTCCTACTTATTTTTTTAAAACTTCAAGGCATAAATTATCATTGTTAACGTGTTATTCTGGAGTTTAAGAAATTCCTATATAGAGAGAGACATATCCTAATTGTTGGGGGATGACTAAGAAATAAAAGAAAATGTGCCTTCTCTGGTTGTAACCTCACTTTTTTATCACAATATTTATTGTCTTTTAACAATTCCTCATCTGCACCGAATTCTGTAAAGGACTGCAGATACAGGTATAATATTTGACTGAAACAACTTTTTTTAATTGAAGTTTAGTTGACACATGATGCTAACTTCAGTGGACAGCATAGTAGTTCGACAAGTCTATACATTAAGCTCTGCTCACCACAAGTGTAGCTACTATCTGTCACCCTATAATGCTGTTACAGTACCACTGACTATATGCCCTGTGCTGTACCTTTATCCCTGTGACCATACATTCCATAACTGGAATCCTGTGTCTCCCTTCATCCATTTTGCCCCTTCCTTCACCCCCCTCACAACTAATTCTTTACGGTTATTATGCAGGTAAAATGAGATTACGACCAAAGACATCCTTTGTATGTTGTAAAGGACTAGGAAAATGTTAAATAATTATTACTGAAGTAACTGACTTTAACTTTTTTTTATTAGATAATATAGTTGGATCTAACAAAAACAGCACGATTTGCCCTGGTAAGTATAAATTTTTATTTTATGAACTAATATAAATTGTTAAGCTTTTTTTGCTCAGAGTATAATGCATTTATTTATACAAGGCTAGGAAAGGCATTTTTTTTTTTTAATTTACCTTTTTCCTCTGTTGTAAAGAAAAACATTTCATTTTCTCTAATATAAAAAATGGAAAACTGGTTGGAATTTTGTTTTTGTTTTTTACTGTAAATTTAGAGCTAGTTTTCTGATTTTTTTTTTTTGAAAAGACATCTGAAAGTTGAGGATTTTAGTTCATTATTTTTGAAACCTAGTAACTAAGGCCTTAGTGTTAGTGTTCGTGACAGCATTATGCTTAGGTATTATTTATGAATCTGAGTGTAAGCACTGTTGCTTCTACTTGGAACATGCATACCAGGTATGGGCCTGGGAATATAGAAAATATGCTCTGTGCACCTAGCATCCTGTCTTTTCTACCAGGTTCATCAATGGTCTAGGAGAGCCAGTTTCAAATGAAGAGACTGACATTCAGAGATTGGATTAGTTAGAGATATAATGATTAGTTTCATGTCCTAATTTGAGAAAGTGAAAACAAGACATTTAATTAAGACTGTAGATCATTGTTACAAAATCTTTTGTGAATAAAATTAGGGAACTGAGGGATTAAGAGAGTTTATTTTTTTTAATGGTGAGGGACTAGTTCAAATAAATACCAGAACTATATTTTGTATTTTTCATGGCTTTTCTGTTATCAAAAGAATGCTGATTTATTCCCGATAGCATCAGAGTTCCACAAAATAGTCATGTGTGTAATCTTCTTGAAAAATAAAATAGTTGGACTAGATTTATTCTGTAAAGCTGTGATTCCAAAATTTCCTCACAGTTTAATATTTCTTGCCTAAAACTTTTAATAGATGTCAGTAATTATTGACAGAAGCCCTTTGACATACATTGAATTTTGATGTTCAGGAACCAATTTGAAGTCATTTCATTAATGTACCAAGGCCTCTTGAGGGAAGAAAAGGTAGTTTATTTTAGTAGGCCTTTCATGGGTATTACACTTTGATGTTAAAAAGGTTATTGGTAAAAAATCTCAATGTAATATTTTTCACTTTATATTCAAATAGCCAAAAATGTCCTTTCCTTAAAGATGTCTTTAAAGAAAGCATATTAATTTTTCTTGGGAAATTTTGTTGTACAATGTTAGGCAAAAAGCTTGAGGTATTTACTGTTTACTGTGGACCCTTTAATGGGTTCATTAATATTAATAATGAAAGCACATACTAAGGAAATATTACTAAGAAGATCTCAGTGCAATGAGGGTTTTCTTACCATGTTTGTAGATTTTTATTTAGGCTTTTTTCCCTCTTAACACTAATAAATATTTTATACAAGAGCCTTAGAAAGTATCCATTTAATCAATAAAACTGAATAGTATTGCAGAGTCTGCTATTGAAAAAGTAAAAATCTGTAGCTTTAATTGATATAAAATGAGGAAGAAATACAATTTTACTTTTGCTCTAAAATATGGGACATAAAATTTATTCTCTTTATTTAGGTGAATTACAATATTTTCATGTGATGACTTTTTTTGTAGATAATTATCAAACAGCACAGCTGCTTGCCTTAATTTTAGAACTACTCACATTTTGTGTGGAACATCACACATATCACATAAAAAACTATATTATGAACAAGGACTTGCTAAGAAGAGTCTTGGTCCTGATGAATTCAAAGCACACTTTCCTGGCCTTGTGTAAGTAACAACTTAAAAAGAACATTCTTGTAAAGTATTTTAAGGAACAGTCGATAGAGATAAAACCTGAAGTTACCCATGTGAATTGATTTATTTTTTAGCAGTATATATGCCATCAAAGAGATGATTATGAGAAGTACTAATCTTTTGTTTTCTTTTATTTAAAGGGCAAGAGGAATAGGTCATGGTGCTTCCCACCCACATATTACTCACATTTAGATTGAATTAGTTTAACTGTTGTGATAAAATACCACGTACGATGATGACATTTCACTAATAGAACAAGTCCTGCTGTCTTTCACATCTGCTTCATCAAACTGTCATTTATAGTGACTTTTTTTATACCTTTGAGATATGGGCCTTCAAACGTTTTTGTGTAATTTGGGTTATTTATTGAACTTGTAAAATAACTTATGAGTAGTCCCCCTCAGTATACCACTTGGACCAACAATGATCAAACTTAAATGCCAGTAGTTGCGTCAGTGTTGATTTTTGGCAAACTGTTAAGTTTCCTTTCCTCTTCATAATTTTACCTGCAAATAGCGATAAAGTAACCTCCTTCACCCTCCAAATAAAAAGAGCTTTGTGTGTTTTTTCTGAGCATAAAAATTACGGTTAAAATTGAAACATTTAACATATAGAGAAAAGATTAATCTCCCAACTCCTTTTATTTTTAAGGCCTTAAAAGTAGCTACCATTGGGCGCCTGGGTGGCTCAGTTGGTTAAGCAACTGCCTTCGGCTCAGGTCATGATCCTGGAGTCCCGGGATCGAGTTCCGCATCGGGCTCCCTGCTCGGCAGGGAGTCTGCTTCTCCCTCTGACCCTCCCCCCTCTCATGTGCTTGCTCTCTCTCATTCTCTCTCTCTCAAATAAATAAAATCTTAAAAAAAAAAAAAAAAAAAGTAGCTACCATTAACTCCGTGCACAATTTTTCCTATTCCTTTTTCCACAGCCGTACAAATTTATATAAAAATTCACACACTTTACAGGTTTTTTTGTTTTATTTTTATAAAAACAGGATCATATTAACATGTTTCTCAGCTTTTTAGTATTACTCTAGGTGATCGAATATGGTCTCAACTAAATTTTTTTACTAAATGTAGCTGAGTCACACTTGATGGAGTGGCTCTTCCACAATTTATTCTGCTGTTCTGTAGTGCACAGATAATGGATTGTTCGGGTATTTTGCCCCTCCAAATAACACTAGTAAATAGTTTAGTATATAAATCTTTTAAGTGCTGGTTTCTTTATTTCCAGAGTATGGATTCCCAATAATGATAATGCCAGGACAAAATGTTTATATAGTTTTAATGTATCCTTTTAAATTTGAGTTTCACATACAGCCTCCAGATTACTTTCCCAAAAGATTGAAGCACTTGACACTCTTGCAGCACTGTGTTACTGATTCCTAAAATGTTATGAAGAGGATGATGGAAAATGTGGTATTCCATTTATGTTTTAATTTACATTTTCCTTGGCAGTATATTTTCCTGTTTTAGGGCTTTTGAATTTTATCTGTTGTGAATTGCCTATTATCTTTTCCTTAGAGTTCTTTTTATATTAGAGATATTTATCACATTTTTGGGAAAAAATGTCACAGTCTCATTTGTCTTTTGCATTTGCCTTTATAGTATTTTTTAAATATATAACAGTTTTAAGATTCTCTATGATGAAAAGTATGTCTCTTTTCCTTTTATGAGTTTTGGGGTTTTTGTCTTGCTTAGGAACATCTCCTATGTCCTAAGATTATACAAATAAAATACTCTCCTCAATTTACTTCTAATATTTTTATTATTTCATTTTTTACTTATATATGTAATACATTTGAAGTTTGTTTTTATATGTGGTTTGGAGGGTCTTGCTTTGTTTTCTTCCAGATGGAGAGCAAGTTGTACCAATCCCCTTATTAAATAAACTATATTTTTCTTACTGAATTAAAATTTCTCTGGTTATATAGTAAATTGACATATATATCTTGTGCTTGTTTCTGAACTATTATTTCTATTTCTAATCTATTGTTTTATTAGATGAGATAAATAGGAAACTTTATTCTTAGGCCACTATAGCCTCTCTCTTGTAAAGTTTAATATCTGCTAAGTCCCTGCTCGCTTTTCCTTTTCATAATTTTCTTGGTTCTTGGACATTTGTTCTTCTATAATAACTTAAAAACAATTTTATCCAGTTCATCATGACCAGACTATGTTAGATTTTTATATTAATTTTGGAAGGATTGATGTTCTCATGATAGGTATTCCTATCTGGCTTTCTGTAAATAGTTCTTTTGGATGACTGCAGAGTAGTCCTGTTTGTGTGGATATATCATAATTGAACAAATCTCTAGTATTTAAATGTTTACATTGCTTCAAGATTTCCATCATTTTAAGTAGTGCAGTTGTAACTATATCGTATCATTCACCCATTCACCAGCAGTGCATTAGAGTACCTACTTGCGCACATACTCAGTCTTTTTAATCTTAAATAACTGTTTCTTGTCCTGCTACAAAAAGAGGTGATGTTGTAAGTCTAGTACTTCTCTTCACACTTGTTTTTGGTTTTTTTCTTCACACTTGTTTAGTGTTAACAGCTATCATACATTTATACCTTATGTGGCCTATTTCAGTTTTATTCTCAGATAATATTTGGAACCTCTTTTGACAGGCACAACTTCTTTTAATGACTTGCCTCTGAATAGTGGGTTGAAATGGGAGACATTTCTTTTCAGTATTTAAAATATGAAAAGCTACATTATACTGCTTGTTACTCTATTGTTCTTTTACAAATACAGTCTGATCTGCCACAGTTCATGTTTACCAAAGGCAAAAGAGCTCATAAGCAATTGGTAAAAAAAGACTAAGACGTATAGGGTTAAAATGTATATGTTATAATATATAGGTAGTGTCGGTTCACAGATGATTTTTCCAAGGCAAAGAGACCTGAAATAGTGGGAGTGGAACTATAGCCTTGAAAAAGTAAAAGACCTTCAGCTCTCCTGTTAAGCTGGCAGCAGGAACCCCTTTGGCTTTATTTTCAGAAAATCAAAAAGAAGTACCTCCCTCCAGAGCTCTCCCCACAGAGAGGGGAGGCAGCCTTGGGCAGGTTGCAGCACTCCTGTGCCCACCTTCACGACAGACAGCCCTGCACTGGTTCTGAGCTGCCATCACTACGTCTGCATGTCTGCCTGCGCTGCTCTGAGTACTGCCAGCATTGGCACTCGCTGGTTACTGTGGGGGGTTTTAATCTTTACACCATGGAGCTACCTGCCTGGATACTTCATCTCCCAAGTACCAGTTATTGGGGGTTTTTTGCTAGCTCTGGCTACATGAGTTACACAGATTTGAGTGGTCTTTCCCTAACTCTGTTTTTCCTCAAAACCCAATTATTTTTAGTGCACAGTTTTTATTTTAGAATATATACATTGCTTTATGTAAAAATACCTGTATAATAATTGTTATTAATGAGATTATTGATTTGTTCCCTGTATTATTAGGTGCTCTTCGTTTTATGAGGCGGATAATTGGCCTTAAAGATGAATTTTATAATCGTTACATTACGAAGGGAAATCTTTTTGAGCCAGTTATAAATGCTCTTCTGGATAATGGAACTCGGTACAATCTGTTGAATTCAGCTGTTATTGAGTTATTTGAATTTATAAGAGTGGTAAGTTTATGCTAAAGGATTCTTAGTAAAATAAAATAATTATATGTTTAGTGATGTTAATATTTTAAATTGTGAAATTTAGCATAGTGTTTTAACCCATGTTTACTCTATATTATTCTCAGTTCCATTTTTATTGGCCAGATGTTTCAGGATTGTATTTGGCATATGTAGACATTTTGGTCAAGTATATGCCATTCTTGAGATATCCAAGATCTTTGTAGGGGTAGTGATAAGTAGGAAGGTTGAAAATAATTACTTTGGTAACTAAATAGAAGATGCATAAAAGGTAGGCTATTATCATGGAATTTTAAGTTGAAGAGACCAGGAAATCAGGCGGACCGCTCCAGCTGCCTTATTTTATAGATGAGGGGCTTCAGACACCCAAAGTAAGTGATTTATTCTAGAGCGTCCATTTGGTTAGGAGCACAGTCAGAGCTTGAAGATAGGTCGTAGCTCAGTTTTGGGCAGCAGAAGATCTGTCATAAAAAGATCTGGAGAGGGCGCCTGGGTGGCTCGGTTGGGTGACTGCCTTCGGCTCAGGTCATGATCCTGGAGTCCCGGGATCGAGTCCCACATCGGGCTCCCTGCTCAGCAGGGGGTCTGCTTCTCCCTCTGATCCTTTTCCCTCTCGTGCTCTCTGTCTCTCATTCTCTCTCAAATAAATAAATTTTAAAAAAAATCTTTAAAAAAAATAAAGATCTGGAGAGAACTCTATGTGAACAACACGGTTAAGATAGGTAACTGTAGAACCAGTACAATAAATTTACCCTCTCCCACACACTAAAATCATTCCACCAGGGGAAATGGCTACATGGTTAGAATTTGAAAAAAAAAGAAAGTAAAGCTAGAAATTCATTCTCTGGTTTTGGCTGTTAAAAATCAGATTTCTGCTCATGACATGCTGTTCTCATGTAAAGATTATTTGGCTGCCTGGATTACTTTTCTAGTAGTACTCGGCAAGAATATGGCTTTCAAAAGGATGAAAAGAATAGAAGTATTGTCTTTAGCCTTAGAAAAGAGGGAACACAGTTAACTACCTTACCAGGTATCTGAACCCTGTTTCACAATACAGTGTTCTAATGAACCAGAGATTGACTTTTCTATTTTTTTTTCCTTACAATTTTTGGTGAGAAACTGATAAAATGAGTTGTAGGGTTCATAACCCCATTCCTATGATTGAATTTGTTTTTCAGAAAATAATTTTGAGTGGTCGATAAATGTACATGGAATCCCAAAACTTAACTCATCTTTTTTTTTTTTTTTTTTTAAGATTTATTTATTTGAGAGAGGGAATACAAGTGGGGGCAGGGGCAGAGCAAGAGAATCTCAAGCAGACTCCCTGCTGTTGATCTCAGGACCCCAAGATCATGACCTGAGCCAAAACCAAGAGTCACCCAGGCGCCCCAAAACTTAACTCATCTATTTGTTCAGTATACAGCACAGAACCGTTTTACCTGGGTTTCTAATGTTTCTTCTTTGCGTATTATTTAATTGAGATTTCCAGAGAAACTAGTTTAAAGACTTAAAATCCTCAAAAGAAGCAGATTATGGTGTATCTTTTAAAGAAGTGGCATGTATATTTCTTATTAATATTAAATTCCTGAATCACAACTTCAGTTATTAATAATGAGCGTACTTCGCACCCAGGCATTTGCAATGATTATTTAGAATGGTTCATTTAGAATTTAAAAGAATTTAGAAGTTACTACTGTCAGTTTGTTTCACAAAAATTATACCATTGGAAGACTGTGGAAATAGGTGGAATTCAAGTTAATAGTTTATCAGATCTGTATATGTAATATAGTCAATGGAGTCTGTGTTTATTATTTAGGTAAGGCTTATCCCATTTTGATACCAGTTAAATAAGGAGTCATTAAGTAGCACCTAATATTTGTTAAAAATGTAATTTCAACATCTGTCTGCCTTCTAACTAGCTCTGTGCTCTTCATCAGGTCATCCAACCTCTCAGATCTTCAATATTACTTTTCTGTAAAATGGGGTAATAAAACCTATTTCATAGACTTGTTAGGAGGATCAAGTGAAACTACATGTCAAAGCGCTTTTTAAATTGTAAAGTGCTATGTAGATGCAAAAAATAAACAGAAGACATAAACTAAATCTAGTTACTTTCAAATGTTTTATAGCCCCCCAAAAGGGCTCCTTTTTTATTCCAAGTTTTCTCTGGAGGCCTGGCTCATGTGTAAAGAAACTAGGACATTTATTTTTGTAATGTGATTTTGAAAAACCTTTTTTGATCAGCTTTGGAACTATAAAAAAGTTCTTCTAACAGTCATTGAATTATATTTGAATTGTAAATTTTGTCCTTAAACAGGAAGATATCAAGTCTCTTACTGCACATATAGTTGAAAACTTTTATAAAGCACTTGAATCAATTGAATATGTTCAGACATTCAAAGGATTGAAGACTAAATATGAGCAAGAAAAAGACAGACAAAATCAGAAACTGAACAGGTATTGTTTAAATATATTGCATTTATAATCTATAAAATTACATCCAAAATTTTTTGTTTGGATCTGACATATGAAATTTACCCAGGAGTATTCTGGGTACCATCATTAGATAGTACAGGGTTGTATAGAAGGGTAGGTTTTTTTCCCTACCCAGAATCTTTTATGTGAAAAATGACTGCTCCATATCATAACTCAAGATAAATTTTTAGTTTAATTTGCAATATTTTGGAGTGTTCTCTGGTTACATCTTGTACCACTGTTGAGGTGATTATGATGTAAATTATACATAGTTAAAATTACTTTAGCTCCTCTTGGTTATACATATTTATTCTCAAACTTAATCTGGTCACAAACTTTAAATCATTACTCAGTGTTTGTGATATGTTTCTTACAGTGTACCATCTATATTGCGTAGTAACAGATTTCGCAGAGATGCAAAAGCCTTGGAGGAGGATGAAGAAATGTGGTTTAATGAAGATGAAGAGGAGGAAGGAAAAGCAGTTGTGGCACCAGTAGAAAAATCTAAGCCAGAAGATGATTTTCCAGATACTTACGAAAAATTTATGGAGAATAAAAAAGGTATTAAAATTTTGAATTTTTTAATAATGTATCATTTATTAGGTACAGAAATTATCAGTTGCTTGTGAAGGTTTGGTCATAGTATATAAAGCATGAAAGACATGAATTTTATAGTGAATCAGACCTTTTAAAATTTCCACATCTTTTTCCAAACCTGGGAGTTATTTTCGTGTTTAAACTGTTTTTCTTGAAACTTGCCATTTTGTGCTGCTCTTCATTTGCTGTTTAGAATTACACTGTCTACTCATACATTGCCTTTTATGAACAGTCTTGGATTTATTTCTGTACTGAAATCTCCAATAATACTAGAGACCATATAGATCCATAGAAACTTTCCAGAGCACTCTGCCTTTTATAGCTGTGAGGAAACTAAGCTCAAAGAAGTACCCTTGCTCTTTGAAATTTTAAAATCATTATAAAAATTTCATAAAGATACACTATCAAGAGAAGTAACATTTCCCATCTTTCAAATATGTTTAACTTGTTTAAAAACTGAGATCTTATCTTTCAAAAGAATTAATCACTTTAATTCTATGGCCTGAAAAACCACCATTACTGGAGTACTGTCCTGCATATATCATATAAATGTTTACCAGAAATTTACATTTTGAAAGGCAAAAGCATTTCCTGAAAGGCAAAAGCATTTGTGATTTTGAATGAGATTTTCTAAAAGTATTTCTCCTTAGGTAGTGTTTCATTGATTTATTACATTTTTCCTGCAACTTTTGTTCCTAGCCTCACTCATTATGTACTTGTTAATGCTTGAAGTTTTATTTACTTCAGCCTGGCAGAGCAAATAGCCCATCAAAATGTCCTCTAAGGAATAGGTAACTTTTGGTAGCCTAATTCTACCTTTGTTCATTACAGGCACTGCCCTGTGAAAAGGGGCAGTGAGGCCGTACTTGAAGTACTGCATCCACTTAAGAATCATATACAAAAAAGTAGCAACCAGATATGAAAGGATAGTAGATACGTAAGTCATAAGAGAAACAGATAAAGGAACCTGGAATATTTAGGAAGTAAGAGACTGATAGACATGATCATGTCATTGTCTTTAGGCATTTGAAATACTAACTTATGGGAGAGATTATCAGGTCTATCAAGGACTATAGAAGTATAGGTTCAGTTCAGGGAAGGGAAGCTGCAGAGGGACAATGGAAGAGTCAGACAGGTAATGAATCCTTGACACGCCCTAGGTAACAACAGTGTAGAATTCTAGTGTAGGATGACTGATTTTGGTATATGATTCTTAAGGTCTTTTCTAATCCTGAGGTGTCTAAGATTCCAGCTAATTAAAGACTTAACCACTGTACACATCATGCTCTACTCTTAGCTCTTATGAAGCAAAGGCAGTGTTATTTTCACTTGCTTTGCTTTTAGGAATATTTACTGAAAAGGATTAAAAATTTTACTTTCACTTTAGCAAAAGAAAGTGAAGACAAGGAAAACCTTCCCAAAAGGACATCTGGTGGCTTTAAATTTACCTTCTCCCACTCCGCCAGTGCTGCTAATGGAACAAACAGTAAATCTGTAGTGGCTCAGACACCACCAGCAAGTTCTAATGGGTCCTCTTCCAAAACTACAAACTTGGCCACATCAGTAGCAGCCACCAAGGTATGTGACATTATTCCATACACGAACTTTGCTTTTTCCATCTTTAAAATTATTTCATGTTTACTAAAGAAAATTTGGATAATAATAATTTCAAAGAAGAAAGTAGTACACATTGTCATCAGAGAACATGACTGCTAATAACATTTGATTGATTCTTTAGGTGTATGGGTTTATCTGACACGTAATTGAGGTCTTTGTATAAACACAGGTTTGTATCCTGCTTTTCTTTGTTAAAAAGAATTTTTCTGTGTTACTACAACACTGTCGATGACTACAGAATTTCATTTTATTTAGCTGTATCACAGTATTTGTAAGTAACCTACCCAGTGATATTTTGGAGCACATACGTTGATTCCGATGTTTCATTGATAGTAGGACTCCTGGTGGTGGTGCATTTTAAGTTACCTTTTTGAACTGATGCGTAGAAGAATATTTTCATACATATTGTCAAATACCTCCAGGAAGTTTCTACCAGTTTACATTACCATAAGCATTGTATGAGTGTGCTTGGCTCACTGCAGCTTTGCCAGTGTTGTTATAATTATTTTTCATCCTTGCCCATTAAGTAGTGGAGACAGTATAGATCTCATTCCCAGTTGTGTGTCCTTGTTAGTAGCTAGGTTGAATATTAGCCTTTTGAATTTGTATTCAATAATTCTTCTGCAAGTTGTCTTTTCATAGTCTTGCCTTTTTAAAATTGGGTTACATTTTTCTTAGTATGAATGAATCTTTAGTTATAAGGATATTAGCCTTTTGGTCATTTGCATAGCAAATGTACTTTCCATTTGTTACTTTTTTATATAAACAAGTTTAAATTTTATTTTTTTTTAAAGATTTTGAGAGAGAACACGAGCAGGTGGGGGGAGGTGCAGAGGAAGAGGGAGAAGCTCCCCACTGAGCAGGGAGCCCCACTCAGGGCTTCATCCCAGGACTCTGGGATCATGACCTAAGCCAAAGGCAGACACTTAACTGACTGAGCCACCCAGGCACCCCTAAACAAGTTTAAATTTTATATAAAACTTTTTTCTTTCATTTATATTGTTATTATATGTAACCATCCTTTTCCCCAAAAAGGAGTGGCTTAAAATAAAAAGGCATAAATCTAAGACAACTGTTAATGTAAGGGTAGAACGACAAGAGGACAGAAATGCCATAGTAGTAGAAAACCTAATCTGAAGGGATGCTTCTTGGTTTGAACACATAATACAATTTGAGTTTATTGTTTTACAAAAATGTAGTCTTTATTCAGTATTGTATTGAGGTAGGCTCTTGACTAAAGATCACAGAAGTAGCATTTTCAGTGAGATTCTACTGCTTTTGAAACTTTTTTAATTAGAAATTTTAAAATTAATTTTCACTTCTTGATAGGAGAATTTGGTATAATATTTGTGGCACTCTATTAAGAATATTTGCTGTGAAGTTAAATTGTTCAGGTTCAGATCTTGGCTCTGCCTCTTCCTAGGCTATTTGACTTTGAGTAAGTTATTATATCTCTCAGGACCTTATTTTTTTCATTTTAAATAAGGATAAAATAGCACCTACTCTATAGGCTTATAAATATTAAATCATGTAATAAATGTAAAGAACTTAGAACACTATTTGCACTTTCTCAATATATACTAGCTTTTCTTTTTTTCAAGCAATACATGCGCTTACTTTCAAAAGTCAAAATAGTATTAAAATGTTGAGAAAAATCAGTCCTTTTTTCTTCTCCACAGAGATAGTTAGAACTCTTCTTGTACCTGTTTCTTCCGTTTCTAAATAATATGTTAATACTTCATATTGTTCTATCAAGTTTAGACCTAATTTATTCTTGTTATGGTAGATAAGAATTTAACATGTGAGCACTCCTTACCACATTCTCACCCTTATTTCTCTATGTATCACAATTTTTGTTTAAAATAACCTTTGATAATTTTATAGCTATAGTGACAATATAAATATTCTTTATTCACAACTTTTTTCTTGGTCTTTTTTTCTATACTATATGTTTCTTAATAACTTTTCTCTTTTTAGAGTAAATAATTGCCACCATTTTTTCATTTGTTGCAATAGTTAGGTGCCTTTCACTAATTCTTGCAGTGCCATTCAGCTTAGTTTCCGCATTCTCTTGACGTCTCCAGCCTGGTTCCGACCTAGATCCGTTGCTCTCTAGACTTGCTGCACAGCTCTTGTCTTGAGGTTGCCGAGGCCATTATCCTAATACTTCTTTTGCCTCTCTTTTTCTTGTATTGCTTCTGGGTCTTATGTCTCTATACTCTTTCTTGATTTTCCTTCCCATTTTGGTGCACATCCTCTAATAATTGTTTTCTGAGAAAAGAATCCCAGGAGAGGTAAAATTTGAGCCCCTGCCTCTATGAAACTGTGTTGATTCCATCCTACTTGACTGCCAGTTTAACTGAATGTAGAACCAAATCGGAAATCATTTTCTTTTAAAACTTAACTTTTAAAAGTTATTGTTGCCAAGAAATCCAAAGACATTCTTATTTCTGATTCTTTGTGTGTGCGTTCTTATTTTCTTGGGAGCAGCTGAACAGTCATGTCCTTCAGTTTGGAAACATTTTATATTATTTCACTGTAACTTATTGTTCAGATGTTGGGCCCTCTGTATTGATCTTATAATTTTCATAATTTTTCTCTGTTACTCTTTTTTTTTTTTTTTTTACTCTTCTTGTTCTATTTTCTGGGTTATTTCTTATAGTTCTTAATTCATTATCCTTTCAGATGATTTTTTACTTAGGACAACAAAAGCAGGTTCAAGCACTAACACATTTTTCACCCTTCTTGACACTAACAGCAGATTACTGAATACACTTGTACTACATCTTTTTGCGGGGACAAGGAGAAAACAGTGATTGCTCTTGGAAAATAAATTGCTCATCACTCTAGATTATGACAAAAGTTTGAAATTTACTATCTGTTGAGTGCCACAGTCCAATTGATTGGTTCTTAAACAGATCAGGTGTGAACTTGTCTGTTTTCCTTGGCAAGGCTTCTAAAGCTCTAATATGCTTTTAAAAATTGCATTCTTGGCAAACTTGGTAGTTTTTCAAGGCTGGTGAGACATTAGCTACTAATGAAATTACAAAGATTTTTTTTTTTTTTTAACTTACAGAGCTATAAAAACCACATTTTCCTTAACAGAAGTATACTTACCCAAAAAAGGAAAGAAAAATACTTACAAAATCATAATCAGAAACCATTAGTGGGTGCTAAAACAAGCACTTCTTTTGCCACAGATTAACAGAAGAGAACACTGAATCTTGCTTTTTCACTTAACAAACTTATCTGGGTGAGCTTTCCATATTAGAACATAAAAGAACTTCTCCATAGGATTCCAAAGTATGATACACTTTAATTTATAACTAACACTCTTAATGCATTTTAATGTTGTTTCCAGCTTTGTGTAGTTAAAGCAATTGTATGTGACTTTCTACACAAAATATTTCATATACATGTGTATTTCTATATAGAATATGCATTTACAGTTTTGATTAGTTATTGAATTTACTCAGCAAAATGGAAATATGTGGATAGTTCCTTAACATGGTATATATGGCCAGTACCAAAAGCTAGCTTAATACTTATGGACATATTAGAAGCATTCCCACCAAAGTTGGGAACAAGGTAGGATACCACTATGATTGCTATTATTTAACCATTGTTCTGGGGTCGTAGCCAATGTCGTTAGGTGAGATGAAATTAAAGCTATAAAAATTAGAAGATATAAAAACCATCACTTGCTGATGATTTTTAAAAATTTTATTAATCATGTTTATGGAAGATCTGTCCTTTTTTTTTTTTTCATGATTTTATTTATTTATTTGAAAGAGAACAAGCAGGGGTGGAAGGGTAGAGGGAGAGAGAGAAGCAGACTCCTCACCGAGCAGGGAACCCAACGCAGGACTCGGTCCCAGGACCCTGGGATCATGACCTGAGCCGAAGGCAGATGCTTAACTTACTGAGCCATGCAGGTGCCTCTGTCCTTTATTTTTTGAGTAGAGGATAATTCTTGAATTCTCTCTTCTTACATTTTTTAAATATGATTAATTATATTAATAGTTTCCTAACATAATTTGTTCATTGGTTTGTTTGATTCAGAAAAAATGTCATTGTGTATTCATAGGTGTTTGTTATTGTTATCATTCGTTTTCATCCCTTCCTTCGTATTGGAAACTTTCCTCAAGGGTAATTGGCATAAATGGTCTAATTGCAATCTGATATTTATTTTAAAACAAGTATGTTTATGTTTGTATATTAAGTCTTGAATCGGTCAGATTCTTTACGGAGTGCATCTCTGGATTACAGGCCTTTTCAAATATTTCACATTTTATATTTTTATTTTCAATAAAAATGATTGTTTTAACATATAGTTTATGGCATATATGTATAGATAATAGAGATAAAATTGATAATAAATTATGTAGCTGTGTGTTTCAGATAGAATATTTATTAATCTTAAGTAAAAAGGCATTTTAAATGTTACCGATTGGAAACTGAAATGTTTGTACATTATGATATATAATTTGTAATCCTAAACATGATTAAAACTTTCCTTGATAATTTGTCATCTTTGTGAATATCAGACTGGTGCCTTTTTAGAAGGTAATTACATCTTCTATCTCCTCCCATCTAACTTGTTTGGCTTAGAAACCAAATGAATAAGGATGATATTGTAGTAGCAGTTAATAGCAGTTATTGAACACTAACTACATACCAAGGACTGTGCCAGGTGCTTTTTATGTTTTCTTTTCATTTTATTTTCAAAATAGTTCACTGAGATCTAAGTACTATTATACTAATTTTAAGATAAGGAAAATGAGGCATAGAGATACAAAATCACTAGCCCACAGTCATACACTTAAAAAATTGTGGCATTGCAATTTGAAGTTAGGCAGACTACAATCAATACATTCTTACCAATTTAGCCATACTGCCTCTTACCAAACTTAAGATTTGTGTGTTATTAAGCTGAGAAAGCAGGATTCTCACATAAGTATATGTGGTATAAATAAGTTTGATTTAATTCCCAGACTTTCTGATAATGGTTTCTAGTTGCTCAGTGGCCTTTGTTGATATTACAGTGGTTCAGTTACATATTGGCCAAGTGTTACTGCCAGATGTCTGGATTCTTTAGATATGAAGCTACTTAACTTTGAAATACGAGTTATTTCAGTTGTATTTGTTTTTCCCCTTGAGGTCTGAAGGGTTTGAACTAAATCCAGTGTTTACAGTAGCGCTCTTAACCTGTGGGGTCATATGTATAAACTTATGACTTATGGGATGGATTCAGAATGAGTGCAAACCTGAGGACATTTAATTTCCTGGGTAGTATCCAGAGCCTTAATAGGTTTTTAAAGGGGTCCATGACTCATAAAGGGCCGAACACCTGAATTACCTCATCCTTACTTTCCTTTTAGTTAGAGAGATAGCCCTAAATTTTTTAGTTGTTAGTTTTAGGAAGTATTTCATTTGTTTATTATTATCAAAAGCATAATGAAAACAATGGTATGCACTTAGTAATGAAATACATACATGAAGTATGGAGACAAAAGGAGGCTTCTTGTCGCTGACTGACTACTCTTTCTAGTTTAAACATAGAGAAATGAACTAGTTCATTTCCACAGTCCTTCCAGCTCCCCGTGTCATGATGATTTTTGAGTCCTGCTGTTTGGAGATACATTTTCCCACAGTGAAATTTTGCTGAATTGAATTAAATTGTGAGGTATTGTTAAAAATCCAAGAGCTAAATAGAAAAGTTGAAGGTAACTTAGAGTGCCACCAGTGGTACCAAGTGTTCATAATTTTCAAGCAGTTCCTTTATCAAATTCAAATGTATCTGAGATAAATATGATTACATAGTTTAGAAAAGTTATTTGTGATGTCTTTAAAAGTGACTATTGATACTAGTAAGTGTTTTTTTCCCCTGAAGTTACATATGTTAAAAAATTCTTATTCTTCTTCAATAGGGAAGTTTGGTGGGTTTAGTGGATTATCCAGATGATGAAGAGGAAGACGAAGAAGAAGAAACAGCTCCCAGGAAAAGACCTCGTCTTGGCTCATAAAATATTTAGTGAGGACCCTCAACGCGTGGTCTTACTAAAATGCTGCAACTGTTCAATGAGCTGAAAATCTGAATCAGAAAGCTTTCTCACTTGAACTTATAAATATACAAGGAGTAGCAAAAGATACTCAGTATATCAGCTAGGAGAGTTTAGTTCTGTAAAAAACCAGGCTTCCCAGGAACTTGACTGCTTGCTAGTAATTAAGGGGTTTGCCTTTCAGGCTGTCAAAAAATAAAAAAATTTAAAAAAAAGTTAGTAACCAGAACCTGGGAGATAGCTTCTTCATGAGGAGACTCTCAGGTTTGGGGATGGCTTGGGGGAGGGAACAAGGTTGATAAAACAATATTAAATGCAGGGTTGCTCCAGGGGGGTATCTGATCTAGAAACAATTACAAAACTTTAGTTACAAACCCAATAACATTACTTGTATAATGGTGCTGGCCATGTTGTTCTTTTAATCAGTTGCCTCTTTTTAAAAAAATTTTTTATGAAAACCAAATTTATCGTAAAAATGAAGTTATGCTTTTGGGACCATTTTTTGAAGATTTAACAGAAATTCAGCCTTATAGGTAGGTAGAGGGAAGTACACTCTGTGTTACAGTACATGTTGAGTTTTCTACACCAGAAATTTTCAGTATGTATTTTGATGAAAACAAACAAGCTGGATTCAAAATGGACAGTCTTGTTAATATAACTTTACAGCACTCTTAGAGATAACTGATGCCAAGAATCAGTACATTAGTATTTTGAAATGATTTTCTCTAGAAACTTGGGAGTGGATTGAACAGAATGTTTCCAAGTGTCTCCCAGTAGTGCGTACAATCTTTTATGCAAGATACTTTGAAGTCACTTTCTGCTTTGTTCATAAAGTTGTCTCTCTCTCTAGAGCTGCAAGCAAGTTTTAAAGTATAATTTATAAAGACTCACATACAAAGACTAGTGCTGAACTAAGTGGCATTTAATATCTAGAGGCCATTTTGATCCAAGAAGTTACTTCAGTATCAAAGTCAGTATGCAGCACATGAAGTTTTCCCATAAACAAACAAGGGTGTAATATGAAAGCTGCTTTTTTTAAAGAGTAAAAGCACATTCCATGTACGTAAATGAATTTAAAATAAGTTGAGGCAAACAGTTAAGAGGTTTTATTTTTAGAACAGCAAGTTAACTGTAAATATTTTTAATGTTTGTTTGCTCATCTGTGATCTGAGATCATGCTGAAGTGAGAAAAACATCCTCCAAACTACAATTTAATGCATTGGGAAAAAAAAAAACTAAAAAACAGGAATCCCAGCTACAGTCTTCAGATCACCCTTGTAATGTGTTATGGGTCCATTTTTCCTGGAATAGCTTAAACTGAAGCAGTTTCCCCTGTTTTGGAGATTTTGTAGTTAATTTTAATTTTGGCTATTGTTTGGAAAAGATGGGCTGTCTGTGTAGATATGAAGTATAGTTTTTCCATAAAACAGATGTTTATTTTGTATTAAAAATACCACTGTACTTGTTTTACACCATTTGTATACATGTGGTGATATTAATGCTGAACTGTAAAATTCAGGAATTAAAATGTGACCCTGTAATTCTATGATTGTTGCTTTTGTTTGGTTTGTTGTAAATATAAGTTATCTCCATGTTGAGATTTGTTCCATTTTATAGTATCTTTTAAAAGCCAATAAATTATCCATAGATATTTATTATAAACCACTAAGTCCTACACCAGTCTGAATGAAGTAATAATAAGCAAACGAAGGTTGACTGCACTTTAAGAATTACTGATTGTACTTACAGAAGGTGTGCCTTGGGCAAATGAAGTCTCAACACCAAAACATCACAGCATGGGGCTAGTCTCACCTCTTTGATTAAAAGTACATATAATGAAAAAGACCTCCCACTTTATAAGGCAAGTGCCTCAGGATACCCTAATTTAAACTAAGATCAGTAAAGTTACCATCTGAATACAGTTTTTTTCAAGCAAGTCTGTGAAGCCCCTTTCCCTCTTCTTAGCTCTTAATTTCTTCTGGTCATCTAAGAAGCCCAGGCCTAAAGCATTTCCCTATTTACTCTTGACTCTTCCTGATTAAGTAATTTTAAAGTTCCAGTAGGAAGTATTATCTTTATACCTTATGAAGAGTTTAATTTTCCTTTCTGAAGAATTGCCAGGAGTCAAACATTTAAATCATCATCATCTAGGAACCTTTCTTACCGCAGAAATGTGAGTGTTTTGTTGACTTACAGGATAACAGTTTTCATGGTACATATGCTCACCCACAATGATATAAAAACAGGGCTTAAAATATCCCTTGAAAGAATAACTATTAAGTTTCCACATGTTAGCTGCTGTCTTAATGACTACCCTCAGGCAGATCAGGATTTTTATATCTCTATCATCACTCAGTGAACCAAGCCAGAGCCCACATTTGTATGCCTGAGGTTCTCTTAAAATTATATCTGTAAACATGTATCCACTATAAAAACTATTTTTAATAAAAAGTTACATGAAACAGATTTCTGTGTTTTAATCACTAGTTTTTCCTCTTGTCCATCTAAGTGATGAAAATGTAACAAATGTAAAGTAATGATGGTTTTTCTCTGCAGGTTGAAGACTGGAGCTAAACAAATTTTGGTATCCCTTTTTTAAAAGTTTGTAACTGTAGATTTAGAGAGATAAAATGGAATTATAAATTAAACCTCAGGAGCAACCTATAACTAGAAAAGGGGTGCTTGCTGGAAGACACAATACAGGAAGTTTTCTGAAAGAAGGGTCTCTCCTACTATTCTGGTTCTGGACATGGGATCTTTTCTCCTGATCTGTAAGCAACCACAGAAAACCATCCAGGACCATTTCACATAAAAAAGGCCTACACCCATGGCTGCATTCCCCTCAGGAGTTGACTGTTCCCTTTATCTTTTTTAATGGTAGCCTTTCTAGAAAGAGTAATTGAGTATTTTTAACATCCCTCATCCATTTTCCAACTGCTGTTTGCTTCTGCCCAGGATCACGTCTTCTGGTTGGATTTCCTTATACTTGGTATACCCACAACAACTCTAACTCACCCCATCTCCATATAGCAGGCACACATTTTTTTTTTTTAGCTGAACGTTTTGATAATGTAACTTCCCTGCTTTAAAACTGCAGTGAGTTCCTACTGCCATAATAAAATTTAAAATCCTCACATTTCCTACAGGGCCCTGCAAATCAGTACCCCGCCTATCTCCAATTTCATAGCCAGCCTTCTGCCCTGATTCTGTGTATACACACCATACTGCCCACTCCTCACTAGCTGCCTTTCCTGTGGTAGGACCTGAGTTGGTCCTTCCCATTTCTCCTTGCAACTAGCCTTCCAATCAGCTTAAGTATGGCTTTCTCAAGAAGGCTTGGCCAGCCCTGCTTATAATACTGGCATTTTTCCCTCTGTACACTTGGCTCTTCGGGCCTTCTTCACTAGCCCCATGAAGGCAGGGACCCTGATGATCTAGTTGACAACTGTATCCTTGGTACCTAGCACAGTGCTTAGCATAAACAATAGTAACCAAGTTGGAATGAATAAATGCACGATCGCGTTTCTATACCCTTTCCCAGCCCAAGTAGCTGTCTTCCCCGCCACCCTTTACCTCAAAAGTTTAATAAAGTATTAAGAATGAGCTTATATTTGCATTTACAAACACAAGTATTTGAAACTAACAGGCTCAGTTTAAGGATTAAATAATTTATTTTTAAGAAAATTTGAACTTCTGTTTTGCTAAATTGTTTTTAAAATTACTTATTAATAACTTCTTCTTTAAGTTTCTCTGCAAGCAATCTCCTCTTTAGTAATGTTTGCTTCTCCTCTGCTGTCATTTCTTGTTTCTCTGTCATTTCCTTAAAAAAACAAAAAACAAAACAAAAAAAAAAAACAGGAAAAAAATTGGCTATAGTGTAAGATGGGTTCATTTGTCTAAAATTCCCAACATACTGCCTCAAAGAGCATTTTCAGTAAATAAAAATGTAAAAAGCCACATGTGGACTGGGCTCCCTAAATCTCTTCTTTGCAAAAATCTCTTCTTAGAGAAGAAAGCCTCTTGGAGGTGGTGGCAAGGATACTGTTGCTGCTTTGTGGATAAAATATCTCAAAGGGCTTAGGTAAAATAGACTGCTGACCCTTAAGCACTCAGAGCAGGGCAAGTAAAGAAAAAAACGTATAATGAGACCGCTATCATTTCAACCTCATAATCTTCGCATCATAACCACCTCACTGCCTAGAAAAAACAGGTGCTACACTAACAGGGAGGTTAATAGGACTGCATCTACAAGCGACATTCATTATCAAGGCTGTCTTGCACACATTCGGATTTTGACAATTCCACCTCTAGATTTGCAAAGTTTGACACACTAAAGCTAGCCATACCTCCACCTCCCCAGCAGGTTTTCCTTTCTGCTCGGAATTCTGTATCGGCTTAGTCCTCATATCCTTTCTCATGGACATCAATTTATCTCTCTTCTGCTTGAGGTAGCGCTCGCGTTGTCGGAGCTCTTCTGTTCCAAGTGTTGATAAATTCTGAGTCAAAAAAGAGAAGGAACTATTTAAATTCAAGTCCACATAATAAGCGGCACAGATAACCACTGGCTGATTCAACTCAAAATTTGTAATAACAAAAGCCAAGTGTATGCCTGTTTACATTGTGTGTTCCCAGTACTTTGTCATTTTGTTCATAGTTCTTAAAAAGTAATGTTTTTTACTTACTGCTATTGGTCCTTCAATGCTTGCATGTTGTAAGCCAGGAATCTTCAGGCCTTTTTGTGGGAAGGAGGAAGTTTCAGGCAGCATTTCCAGCTTTCTTGCCAAAGGTTGTACTGACTGATTAGCAAAATGCACTTTAACTTCTGGCAGTAATTAGACAGAGACCAATTAGAATATTGTAAGAAATATTAAGTATTAGGTTGGTTCACCAAAATGCCTAGTGTTTTTTTTCTCACTGTCTTTTTTTTTTTCCTCACTTTCAATCAACACACACTGATTCAACGTCTATATTGTTTCAAGCACTGGGTGAGAACAATAAACATGGTCTCTGTCCTCAAGGAGCTTGAACTACTGCTACTCATGAATAATGACATTTCAACAAATACCAAGCTCCTGCTGTTTGGCACTATAGCTACAAGAAGCCTAATTCTTGTCTGAAGAGTAGAACTACACTACACTGTAATACAAGGTTGCCACATAAACTAAACAAACAGGACACTAAAATCCCTTACTGTTAGTGTAATTGGTTGTCAAACTTTCGCTTACAGAAGAAACTGTAAATGACCCTATATTTTCAGAACAGTGAAGTTAAAGCTACAATTTTTTGTACTGGACAAGTAAATGCCAATAATATCAATACTTTTTGTTTGTAATACATACTGAAGGCAACTTGAATAAACCTACTAACACTGTAAGAAAATGTAAAGATTTTAAAGTTGAGTAGAACTTAGAAGCAGATATAACAGAGCACTCAGTATTTTCCAGCTCTTTGGTGACTGTGCTAAGAGACAAGATTAACATGCTAATTGCTCTTCTGAGCCATTTTTTATTATAAGAGGGTGATTTTTTTTTTTAAGATAAAAAATTTTCAGGGTAAGTACGTGAACTCTGGAAGACAGCAGAGTGAGACAAGAAAAGACTCAGATAAAAACGACGGCAAGAACTAAAAGCGGGACGGGCGAACGTGATACCCATGTCTCAGAATGTTTAACAATCTTGACAGCACGGTAAAACCGGAAGTAAAACTCTGCATGAGCGAAAAGCTTGCCAAAGGACCACTGCTTTAGCATGGAGTAAGTGTCCTGATGGCAGTGCCAGGGAGGCTGGAAGAAGAAATGCTCTTCAGGCTCTTGGACAGTAAGGAAAGTCTTCATAGAAAAGCTGAGGCTGTAGCTAACCTCCCATCAGCCTAGACAGGGAGCTACAGAACTTAGAAACAAAAACAACGCTCAAGCAAGCTGGTTGCTGCAAACAGGAGTTCAACATGCCCTTCTTACTGATGGTGACTTTACACAGAGGTAGGCTTAGCCCCCAGATATGGAAGCACATGGCTGAAGAAGGGACAATTCCATTCATTTCTGAGGAGGGGGATCCTAGGCACATAAGCATTTATAGTCCATTCATGTACATGTTCTGGATAGTTCTTGCCTGGAGTTTGTTAGTTATGAACACCTTGTATGTTCTAACTCACACCTAGAGAGGAAAGTACTTGAAACCAAAATACTTAGCTTCTCTGATTTCTAGGAATACACAATTAGAAAACCAGGAAGCTTAAAGAAAGATCATCTTATCTCTGGCAACTCTTTGCATCAGTCTGAGAACAGATGCCATCCATTTCTAGCAGGAACCAAGGAAAAACATGGAAAAAAAAAAAGGAATTAAAAAGGAAGTCAGACTCCTTTTTGATTCTTCCCAAATTAGGTTTTCAAAATGGACTCCCATCACTGTGCATGAAATGATTTCCTGGAATATCAGATATACTCATTTTTAAAAAATAGAATAGTTTTTGAAAACTAAAGTCATTACTTTAGAAATTATCTGCCATTTGTTCTGTGCCACTTATGTGCATATCTGAGTTATATGTGGT